CCTGCGCCTCCTGCGCTGGCCCCGGCGCCGCTCACCCGCCTGTGCTGCGCCTCGATGCGGCGCGGGCCGCCGCCGAGCAGCGCGGCGCGGCGCTTCTCCTCGATGCGCGCGGGCACGGAGCTCGCGCGGCGCCCCAGGGCCGCCCACGGCCCCGCCGCCCGCCGCAGCGCGCGCAGCCCCGCCGCCGCCGCCGCCATGTCGCGAGCCGGCGAGCGGCGCCCACGGCGCCTGCGCGGAGCCGCCGCCGCGGGAAGGCCGCGAGCGGCCTCAGGAAGCGGCTGCCGCCTCGCTCGCGTCGCCAGTTGTTTTTATTCAATATACGGATAACTGCGGGCTCCATCTCGCGCTCACAAGTCACATTCCCTTCCAGAACATATAGCTAACACGGATGCTAACAAATCTTCTGGACCAGGCTATTTTTTTTCCCCCTGAAATCTTACAATCCAAAGACCAGCAAGGTTAAATATGAAGTCTCTTGTAAAAGCCCCTGTGGTGAAGAAATCTGGTAGGTGGCTATGCAAAGTCAGCAGGCTTTTTACAGCAGTGTTTAAGGAAACCATAAAGCCTGTAAAAACAATAAAGATTACGAAGCAAATTAGCAAAACCAAAGCAACACCCCCAAAATAACAACCATAGTGAGTAGATAAACAAAAGAGACAAACTAGAGARGACACAGGGGTGTTGTGCAGGAAACTGATGTCCTACACATCTGCTGGAGGTATTAATGAAGTAAAAATGTGGGATAGGGAGATCCTGTGTGTTTCTAGGATTTCCAAAAGGCTTTGGGGAATGTGMCCTCAACAGAAGCTCTTGAAACTCAGTTGTCATGGCATGGCAAAGAAAGTCCGCCCAGACACCTGCAGACTCACAGTTGGCATGAACGGGGTGGCTGGGCATCAACCAACTACCATCTCTTCCAACTCCAGTGTTAGGAGAGTCAGCTGAAACAGTCAGTTGGAGGCAAATAGGTGCCTGCATATGCCAAAGAGGTTTGGAGGCCACTGGACAAATCAATGGAAGGAAAGTTGACTGTAAAAGACTATAAAATACAGCAGTACCACTCCTGGCTTAGGAAATTTCCAAGGCACAAACTGCTAGAGGTTGGGAGGCTGTGCTGGAACAGTAACTCTATATACTGGCACTATTAATAACTGCTCCCTACATGTCAGTGTCTGCTTTTAGAAACAGGACACAATCATTCTTACAGTCCTCTATTGTTGGGATTGCTGTGGGTTAGATATTGTCCCAGAGCTGTGACAGGAATGGCAGTTACTCATGCAGCTGGAAGTAGAARTGTTCCCAGCAGCTTCAAGATGCCCATGCAGCACAACTCAGGACAGGAGAGAGAATTCCAGGGCTGAACCAAGTCACAGGAGGACTTTAAACCATGAGATAACCACCTCCTGTTACTCAACTTCTCCAGGTCCACATAAATAGTAATGTGTATATTTGGGTAGATGAAAGTATTAAAAAAATACCAGTTCCAACACCAACTTGTCTTCCTTTAAGGAAAAAAAAAAAAAAGATAGGTTAACTTGTTAAGTCAGAGGTCAGAGCAGTAACCTGGGTGTGTAATGGACAGATCCTTGTTCCCAGAAAACTACACAAAGCAGTACCCTCAGCAAACCTAAGTGAAGCAGCAGAATATATGCAGAGCCGAACCAGTATTTCTACATTTGCAGTTTGGCTCAGAGTCAGCTTGAATATTTGGTGTTAATCCCCAGATCATCTCCACTTACTTTGTGCTCTTCCAGATCTTAAAAGTGGTTTTGGTGGTGTGGAGCTGACTTCATTCCTGCTGAACTCCAGTGAAAGTCCTGTCCYGATGAAGCTCCCACACTCCTGGAGGCCCAGGTCCTGAACCTCATCCAGAGATGAGCAGACATCAGCCGAAACTGGACTCATTCATATTAAAGCCAGAAGTGACTGCTGTGATCATGCCAGACATGTTGCGACATGAAATTGCTTCAATAAATTATTTATTGAATTGTATAGTATTTTACAACTATATTTCAACTACATTGGTATTGAACTTATCCCTGGAGGATAATCCAGTGTAGCTTTTGACACAGTGTTCCTTAATCAATTAACATCCTTTTATTGAAAAATTAATCCTTATATTGTCTTTATCAGCTACAGTGAAATAATCACAGTCTGTTTTTGACAAACCAGCAGAGACTCAAGAAGACTCCTGGTTAAAGATAAAATGTTTGCCAGGGAAGTAACTAGGAGGCATCTATTGAAAAAGGCAACACTTGTCTTCCAGCTTAAAAATAAGAAAGAGCAGCAAGAGGTTTAGCAATCYACTTGACATCACACAGCGGATTTTTCAGTAAATACAAAAGGTTTAAAGCTTTGGTCAAAAATAAAGGCTGCACATAGGACACGAATCTGAAAAGTCACTTTTAGGGCATTTCAAGAAGATTTTATTTGCCTGAACAGGGAGTTAGGTAGTCAAGAAAATTAGTAAAACTAGGGTTTTCTAGCAGTTTTTCTGTCACATTTGCAACTAAGACCCAAAGGAGAGAGGTCAGAATATCTCTGCTTAAATAATAATAAGAAATAAAAAACAAAACACAGACATGGGGGCCAAAATCCCAACACATTTTTGAAAGAGGGGCTCTTCAAGTTTGGTGGGCAGCAGAGCAGGTGACCAAAAGGAACGGGAAGGGACGCTCCTGGAAGGAATGCCAATGGCCTGCCCCTACGGAGCTGCAGAAGTTGCTCACAGAAGACACAGCAAGATAATAAGTTATCCAAACTTACTTTTCCTGGTATTCATGGAAAACAACAAGAAACTCCAGCCTGCACGAGCAAGAGTTGATTTTGGATCTGTGGGACTATATCTGCCAAAACCATTCTGTGATTCTGTGAAAAGGGCCCCAAGAACTTGAAATTGTTTGTTTGGCAACACCTTAAAAAAGGAAAGAGCTTCAGTGAGGAGATTGACTGCTGTGAACGCTAATTATACTTTTCCACTATCAACACTTATCCACATCTAATGTGCATGTTGGGAATCTGCTTTGTGACACTTTTGAAAGATTAGGTAAACAGATTTGTTAGAAACATTACCCACAATATGAAGTCTACAAGTGTAGCTCATGCAAGTACCAGTACTACCAAAAAAAAAAAAAAAAAAAACCCACTAAAATGGGTACTTTGCAAACATAAAGTAGCTCAATGCAGAACATGTTTAGCATCTAGTGATATCTTCATGGCCTAATTCCAGGAAAAAAATAAATAAATCAGTCTCTCCTGACAAAACTCCTGATGCAAAACATGCATCATCTCCATGACTTCTGGTTATTCCTACACAATTTAATAACAACAGGATGAACTTGATTACCAAAGATTTAATATGATATGCAAAATGCATTACCATACTTGATGCTAATTCAAACAGAACAATTATTAGGCCAGGCATGCTTGCACAGCTAGAGAAAAGGGATTGCTGCTACATCCACCATTCTCTTTGAAATCAGTCAAGTGCAGGTAGAACATACAGTTACCCACTAAAGGAGAAAATCAGGCTGAATAATAAGTGCGAGAAAAAGGCATTCTATAGATTTCATACCCAAAAATTCCTTTTAGAGATAACACCTAAATGAAAAGAATGAATTGTGGACAACTGGCTTGCAGAGCACAATAGGGAAAAACAAACATAGGGATTTTGTGGGTGGCTGGGTTTTTTCCTTTGTATGTTTGTTTTGTACTCTGAGATCGAAGGGACCTTAATGGGGAATATTAAATTCTCCCCAATTTCAGAACAATATGCATTTGGAATAGTTTTGGGACAATGCAGTCACTCTGGAAAAACATGTCAGAACAAACACTTTGAGCAGTGTTCATTTGGACACATTGGGAGAGTCTACAGTTTATTTGTGAGTAGATGGGGCAAAAGTAGATGGATGCGGCCCTGTGCCACATGCTCTAGGTTTCCCTGCTGGAACAGGAAGGTTGAACTGTATCATCCCTAGAGGTCCCTTCCAACCTTAACCATTTTATGATTCTGTGAAGAGGCTGGAGGTTCCAGAATCATGTGTTTTACCAGGATTTTGGAGTCATGTCATGGTCTCTAAACTCCCTTGGAAATTCTCAGGTTTCTCTTCTATAAACTACATTTACAAGCCAGCCACTGTGATCTCACCAATTACTCAGGAGTCACAGTAAAGAGTCACAAGCTTAAAACCATCGTGCAAGAGCTTAGAACAAAAGTGCAGATCATTGTGTCTGAGAAGAGTTCAATCCATATTTTAACCTAATGTAAGTGAAATGACCAATTCTTCCCCAAAGCAGATGGTAAGTCACTGGACATGTTGATCCATGACCACAGTCACCTGGAAAGGTGTTGAAAAGCACGGAACTGTGCAGTCAGCCTGACAACTCTACTGGCAGAAGGGCATGGAGAAGTGGGTAATTCAAAGCAAATTCATAGGCAGCCTATAACCTGCCCTGTGAGGAGAACGCACCTGTTTGGGTCCAAGTCCCAGAAATTTAGTCTGGCTAGACAGCACCAGATGGGAAATGTCGAATTGATTTTCTAATGCAAAAAGGTAATCACATAAAACTTTCGGCCCGTTTTAAGACTCATTCATAGAAATAGACCAAAATAATAAGTTGGAATATCCCTGGAAATACTGTTTGTTTTGCCCACACCAGTTTGAAAGCAAGTCTTCACGCATTGCACAAAACAGTCTCAAAAGGCGTATGGGCTTAGAGAGGTAAAAGACATGGAGCAAAACTAACAATAAAACCACATGGTTTTAAGCACAAGAGTAACCACACCTCAACCCCTCTGTGTGCCCCTTCGCCAGCAGAGGAGAGGTGGTAGTTTGAGAAAGCAACTTGTACTCGCACGTGAAGGAGTTTGTTGGACGTTCTGGGGGTTTATTCAACATGGAGGCTCTTGCCGAGCCACACTTCGAGGCTTTCTGGAGCAAGGCCACCTGGCCGGCAGGGGCAGCGCTCCCGCCGACCGGGCGGCCACAGTTCCGCGGCAGCCGCACCACAAGGGCAGGAGAGGCGAAGCGGT